TCGATGTACATTTCGCATGTGTGAGCATGTCCGGAAAAAAAGACCGAAAATATCGATACTATGTACCGTTTGTATGTGTTCGTTTCTCAGGGAGGGGGGAGGGGGTTGAAGAGAAACGACTAGTTTTCGTTTCTAAATAAATATCGGTATTTACGGAAGGCCCCTAATAACATTTCATGTACATGTGTATGCGAAGCATGTAGCGGCCCGGGTGTGGCGATGAAACGCGTTTTTTTGTCTGTTTCTACTTATGCATCACCCGCCACATCATTGCTGTTGCCTTTGCGCTACATTGTACATTGTAGTAGTGGTGCGTGTCATAAGTAGAGTACCGGCCGGGTGACGGTTTCGGGACGAGACCATGCTGTGCAAAGTGTGCAGAGACCGGCTACGGTATGCCCATGGACTTAGCAAGCAATGCATTGAAGCTGAGAGTTCTACGCTCCACTGCGACTCATGATTGGCTTCACACAAGTAATACTAATAATTCTGATTATTTACACTTCGCCCAGGTCGTGAGGACTTATTCAGCTAGCTAGACCTGTGTTGTACAAGACATGCAGCGGTGAACACTCTGGCTTTAGCCCTGTGAAGTGCATGTACCGTATTTCCACGAATACGTCGCACCTTTTTACACTAAATTTCAGGGTAAAAAAGGGGGTGCGACTTCAATCGAGTGCGACTTATAATCGGGAAAATACGGCACGTGCATGCACGACAGCAATGCATAGTGAGTGTTATCTTTGCTCCAAGTAACAGTTTGCCTTCTCTAGTCTAAGAATCTGAGTGACACTTTCCTTCCTAGTAGTAGTAGTAGTAAATTCTATTATTTTACTAGGTGAGTCCCAACAGGCGTTGCCTTTTTACTGGGAACCCTAGGTGAATATTAAACCATGTTTACATACAGAGTAAGAGACGGGGCCTGACGGCAGTCAGTGGAAAGAGCATTCCATCTGTCTGCCGCCAGGAAAGAAATGCTACTGTACTGTTCTCGGCAATCACAGCTCTACGGGTGTACGGACATGTGAAAAAACAACAATGTAGTGAAACACTTAATAAAACAGTGAATTTCCGAATCAACCTCCAACACTTCGTTCTGCAATGTACATTGTACCTACACGTGTACATGTACATGTATGTGCCCCAGTTGCGGGAACTTTTGGAGCAGTGCACATGTAGAAATAATAAGAATACACTGTGCCTTGTAAGATTGTTGTTGTTGTTGATTTTTATTTTACTTCGCAAGGCCAAACGGGCAATGGTGCCCAATTCTATGGAAGCGAATTTCAAAAGGGAGAGAGCTACGGGGAGAGAGAGAGAGAGAGAGAGAGAGGGGGGGGGAGGGAGGGAGATGATAAGCAATTTTGCAGCGTCAACAGAGCGATTTTGCAGTGTCAATAGAGCGATTTTGAAGCGTCAACAGAGGGAACACAAAGAGTTCATAAGCGCACAAGCACGCAGAGAAGAGTAAATGACGTGGTGTGTGGACGGGAAAAGTCAGACAGAGCATTCATTGCAAGGTGTAGGGGATGGAGGCAAGCTTAAATTGCTGGGCAGCCTTGATCTCCCTTACACTTCTTGGGAGAGCGTTCCAGGCCAAGGCTGCCTGAAAGGCCAGGCGAGATCTGCCGGCTTCTGACTGTGCCGAGGGGACAGTGAGGCCCCTGGAAACCTGGTGCTCGGTGGTGCTGCCAGCTGATGGTGAGAATAGGTCCTGGAGGACACTGCTGGCTTTCCCATTGACACAGCGCCACACCAGGACGAGCCGCTTCTGGGCGTAGCACTCCCGAACTCTGTACAGGGACATCCGTTCGAGCAGAGGCTGAGCTGAGGTGTGAGGCGGCAAACCGTATACCGCTCTCGCCGCTCGGTTCTGCAGGACCTGAAGGCGATCAAGCTGCGAAACCTTGAGGGAGGAAGAGAAGGCGTTAGACCCATATAGGAGGTCAGGCATGATGACTGACCTCACATACTGGATGCGACTACTGAGGCTCAGACATCTGAGGGACCGCCACAATGCTCCAATCCTCTGCACAACTTTCTTCGCCATCGCGTCAACATGGGGGTCCCACTTCACAGCGGCGTCAAGGGTCACGCCGAGGTACCTTGCTGTTGGGCTCAGGGGAAGCTCTGTCTGGTTGCAGCAAAAATAAGATTCCTTGCATGTGCCGGTAGCTGATCTTGGGCACTGGTGCACGCCACGACAATTACTATGTCATGTACACTGTATTATTGTATACTACCTACGACCATGGGCCATGGTGTACTGTAGTGTCCAGTATCCTCGGCATTGCACGTGCTGCGTTCCGACTCCTTGACTGCTCGCAAGGGTCTCTCCACGGTCCAGTTGTCAAAATAGTTGTTTTCATATATTAAAACTTGCCACCACTACAATCATGTACATGATCTATGACACGGCATGTGTATGATTGTAAATGCTCGTCTACACGAGTCACAGAGTACCACGCGTCACAGAGTACCACGAGTCACAGAGTACCACGTGTCTGGTTTGCTGTAACTAATACTACATGTAGTTTCATGCCAGATGGCAATCTTCAGACAACTGATCTACTGCTTTGCTCCCGCATTGAGCACCCTATCGAACCGGAGGACTCCGCTCTCTAAATGCTCGTCTACACAGTATCAGATCCCTTGTACAGTATCAAATCCCTTGCACAGTATCAGATCCATAGGCATAGTTTCTCCCGCACACTCGCTGGTGTTAATTTTTTGCTTTCTCTCCTTTTTCTGACCCATACAGTTCTATCTTTTTCGTTTGCTTGAGACGTGTTTTTGGCTGTGACGCCGAGACCTCAGGTCGACAGAGCCATCAATGTCCCACCATCACTGCTGCGTCTCCGTGCAGCGCCTGCTCATTATTTGTCACGTTTGTCCTAGTCTCCGTACCATTGTCATGATTCATTATTCTTTTCGAGCTGGGTATATGAACATAGTAAAAATAAATAAAAAAATACTACAAAAATAGATTTAAGAAAAGCTACAGTGTCACATAATCCTGTGGTGGTCCTTAGATCTTACGGGAGTTGGTATTCATGCATATTATGATTGTTACAAGAGAGAGAGAGAGAGAGAGAGAGAGAGAGAGAGAGAGAGATATTGGAAGCTTTGTTACAACTCTGAGTTTCACGTATTGCTACGATCATCGGGCAACTGATGGATCCAAAAGTATTATGATTGTTATAGATCCCACACATTTGGCGTGGGCTGCATAGCTGGACGCTCTACATGCACTCAGATCACTCAATCTGCACACATATCCGCATGTAGTTGGGATATAACACCAAGAATCAGAGTACATAACCCAAAATAAAAAAAAGGTTTAGGTACTCTTGATCAAAGCTACATGTATAGACAATAGTTCTAAGATACATGATGATTGTGGTGTTGTCAGTGCTCTATCTGTATGGTGTCATAGTCAAGTGCTGTCAAGTGTGCCCGACCGTGCATGGAGAACGACTTCAGTCTACATACTGACTGTGTGCATGCATGGCATGAGCCAGTACTGCTTCAAAGTCTGCGTGAACTCCAAATGCGGAGGGTTCGCATGCTCGCTCCGGCATGGCCGGATCGGACACCGCCGTCTAGCGGTGGGAGACCGATATTGCCGATGTGCACTTGGCTCAATGCAGCCACGAGTACGTACGTAGAGTTCTCATGCACCAGCACAATCGGATACCGTTCTTTGAATTACCCCACACACTACACATTGTGAACATGTTAGTGATTACTCATGTATCGCTCTTTCTACCTGTACTGGACGTTCGTTCGGAACACATGCCCGGATCACGAACGACATTCCGGAGTCGCTAGGAGTGAGCACAAGTTGCCTGCCTGATAACTGTCACGAGCAGTTTAGCATTAGTTACTCCTCCGTCCTGTGAAGACACACACGGATTTTGTGGCTGTTAGATTTGCTTTTTTTCTTCTATAAGACAGGGCAGAGCTCAGCAAAGTGAATGGTACTACGTTTTACGACGTGAGCACCTCAGGCTGACGTGTAGGTCTCCAAGCAGTGCCAGACAACCTCTTCCAAGCGCCCTGCTATACATGAAGCAGAATAGCGACAGGAACGCTGTGGAAGATAGAGCATTTGAGCACCCATTCAGGCGACTAAGACGATAGCTACTCTCGCGCTGAGGACAAATCAATACCGTGTTGGAATCGATATTGACCCAGGACGCTGGTCAGAACGTAAGTTCATGACAGCACGCATTGCGTACACGAATTTTTCGCTTTAATGGTCACCATCGCAACCGGATTTTTTACGGAGCCATGCATTTTTCTGTGGCTGGCGTGTTTCCACGTTCAGGTTCTTCTGTCAGCAATGCAGACATCTGCCAACTCTCGCGCACCGCCGCCAATCAAACCCAGATCTTTGGCCAGAGTCAAGCAAGGCTCCTCACCAGCAACAGTCACCATTGAGTCAGTGACAAACCGTGATCAGGTTGAGTCTCCTGCAGCAGCAAATCTAGCGCAGCCGCACGCCACTAACGTATGCGCAACCAATGGTATGGGTCACAATGCAGCCGGTTCTTGTGACAATCATGCATGTGTGAGTGAAGGCGAGGACGGTGTACGCGAGGTGGCGTCTTTGTACCCCACAGATGACACCGTTTCGTCCTGTCCAAGTTCCAGTAGCTTGGCGTTAGTGCATGCGAGCTGCACTCCAGTGCAACAGCAGCAGCAGGATGGTGGCGAGCCTAGCACACGCGCTGAACCGACCAACACTGCGAGCCCAGCGGTCGGTGACGAAAGCACCTCTGCCAATGCTAACTCTGGCACACCCAACAGGGATCTCAAACACCAGCGGCGTGATGAAAGCATTAGCTGCACCAATAGTGACACTAACACCACTTCCAATGCAGGTTTAGACGGGGACCAACGCGAGCAGCAAGCGTATGTTACCTGTCAAGCTGGCGCGCTGACCAACTCGCCGTCAAGCGCCGTGACGGCTGACACCAAAGCTATCAGCCAGCCCGTAATCAGCGAGCAGGCTGAGCAGCAGCAGCAGAAACAAAAACACGCACTAGACGACCACCAACTTCCACCCGGATCTAGTAGCACCTTGCCACCCCTGCAGGAGAACCGACGAGGAAGACGCGAGTCGCTGCGACGAGCTTTGGACGCTGGTCTGCAGAGCAGGGAGAGCTCCTATGGCACAATAGGGCCGCTGATAGGCCGACGAAAGATCAGCAGGCGCAGGCAGCTCAAGGTGAATAGCCAAAGCGAGCCATCACTCGCAGATTATCAGGACCTTGACAATGACAAATCGCATCCGCGAGACCATCCTCCACCAAAAGTGCTGATATCTGATACGAATGGTGATTGCCTGCAGCCTGGCTATTCCGTTCCAAACGCAGTTTTACATTCTGATCAGCAGCAGCAGCATCACCGTGCGGAGAATCACTATCAATCGGCGGGCAAGCATCAGAAGCAGCTCCAGCAGCAGAAACCGTATCACGTGCACAGCTCAACACTGCGCGGTTCAGACGTGTCCAGCCTAGGCTACTACCAGTACCATCGTGGTCTCCACCATACCACTAGTTCGCATACGTACGGAAGAGGCAGTTACCTCTCGTTCGCCTCTTCCTCTCTGGCGGCTGGAGCAGGGCCTGGCGAATTTAGCAGCGGCGCGCAGCAGTTTGGTTCCTGTCCCATCGTGTTTGAGGCGGCGTTCAGGGACGACCTATCTTCCATATACTCGAGTGCGACTAGGCGCTCGGAGCATTACGCTGCGTTCTCACCCTCTAGACATCGCGTGCCCGTTTTTGCCAGCTTGTCCTCTATATTAGATCGCCTCCCCAGAGACTCGCTGGCTTCGACCTTGGACAAAATTACAAGTCCTACGAAGAAGCACTCGACTGGAGTAGAGTTTAATGCTACCATGGATTGGCAAAACCAGCACGGCAATGGAGTCGGATTCAACCATCAACCTACAGCCAGCACCACTTCCAGCGGTAATCAAACGGCCTCGCAGACGACAGAGGATCCGCGCGTCTACGACAACTTCCATATCCCCAACGACTCCAACCTTTACGACAACCTGAAGAGACAACTGGGAGCATCCAATGGCGGATCGCCGCAGGTTCATAGCTCAGAGCAGCAGGTCGGGCATCTGAGTCAACACCCAGATGGTATGGTGTATCCATTCGATACGACAGCCACGGAGAATAGCAGTCGGGATGGCGGCAATCAGCAAGGTCCAGAAGTGCAATCAGCCTACAAGTAAGTGCCATAACGTTTGTGTCCGTTATGACCTGTGTGTATTTCATGCGCGTACTATCCAGGAATATCGGGTTAGAAATTTGACAATGAAAGCAACTGTGAACAGAATACTGGATAGAATTTTGCTATCATAGTTTTGCTTATTCGTGTTGGAATGGACACTACATGGGTCAAATTTAATCCTATCCCCAAAGCTAACAGAGCGAGGAATGTAAATATTCAGTGCGTCACCCGACACCAGGTGGCGAGGTGAAATTAGAGTGCTATAGAAAAGAGAATCAGACAGCAACTGAGTCCAAGAATTCCTGACCAGTATATTCACCGGGACACGTTTCATGTTTATGTGATGCTGGTCTAACCCCGAGGCCTCCACGGTGGCACACAATCTTCTCAGTTTCTAAGTTTTTTGCCGGAGAGAAAACAGTGGACGATCACGTGGGAAGTGCTCCAGGTCTTAAGATAAACGCGTGAGTAGGTGCGATGTGCATAATTCAAGTTCAGTCAGGCAACAGTGTCGCTAGACATTTTTAGTGTATGTGCCGTTCCGACCTTTCCATCAGATTATAGAGTACGACGTGGACTGCCGACTAGGTACGAGGCCGTGCTGCGGTGCTTGTCGGATCTTGTGGTGAAGCTACTCCTTGCTTGCTGGTGCGTTTGTAGCTCACACACACACACACACACACACACACACACACACACACACACACACACACACACACACACACACACACACACACACACATACACACACACCACACGAGTTCCGTGCGATATTTTGGCTCGTGTGGGAAATGCCTGTCTTTCCTAGGCAGCAACAGATGTCCGCGAAGATCCTGTTGTCATACGTTAGTTACAAGACGGTTGCAGACCATCTTTTTTTTAGGGTCATCCTGTTGGAATGATGGCACGCTATGGTAATGCGAATACACGTAAAAATGTTGTTGCGTTTAAGTGAGAAGGAGCCTGTGACATGGTGTCGCCATTACACGCCACTTTGCTAGAGCTCTTGGAAAGCGGGAAGGCAGCACCCAAGGGTGTATGTATCTCCAACTAATCTGGCCCTGCAATGCCTAGAGATATGAGAGGTGCTGACTACTGGATGCCTGGCAGGGACAAACATGGTGTCTGCCAGCGTTACGGTCAATTGTGCTGTGTGGCAGTGGCAAGGAGGCGTGCTGGATCGGAGAGAGTAATCCATGTGTTGGGTGTCAAGGTTTGCTACGTACCTTGCAGTCTCTAGATAATCATTGGGGTTTAGTACACACCATTGACGCGAGAAAACTTGCTGTTTCTCTCTTGTCACGTGTATTTTATTTCGTGAGTCGAACGTGCAGACGTTGTGCGGGTTGTGGTGCAATGAACTATTGATGGTAAGGTAAACACTACGAGCAGGTGAGACTGCATACTCGTGCAAGGGCAGGTAGCTACTCACAAACGGCTGTCTCACTGCCCTGTCCCTGCCTAGAGCATTTGCACGCTGAACAGGACGGCAAACAGAGTTTGAACTTGTCTGGAAGTGCGGATTGTTATCTGCTGTACGATAGCCCTTTGACGTGAAACTCAGAGTAAACAACTAATGACGTTTTCCGCCAGTGTGTCCACTGTGTGTGATAAGAACCCACTCCACCATCTCTGTTTGAGTTGGTAACAGTTAGCTGCGTGGTATCATATGTGCTCAAAGTCCATCATTGGTCTCTTCAGCGTATTTGTATACGTTCCCGATTGTGCATTTCGCAGAAAAGAGCTTTATTCACTTTATAATGGGGCAACAACAGAGCTTGGTTCTCCTAAAGATATCTGTGATGGTCTGAAAGTGAGGCTTAGGCATCCGCCGTCCCGGTGGGAACTGTAGCTTGCCGAGTACAGTATTTTACGGATGAGTGTTTCCATAATCATGTCATGAGTACAGTAGCCACAGGGCGAAGTAGGGACCTGCCAGGAGCGATTCCCACGATCATCATCTCCATGATTGTTTTGACCACCAGAATGAACAGCTTTATCGATTTCAACAGCTTTGGAGTATACCTGTACATGTACACGCCGAGCCAGTTGCAGTTGCTCGTGACAGTGTTCAATACAACAAGCTGCAGAGCCTAGTACACACACTTGAGAGTAGGCATATGCGGATAATGGCGGCAGAAAAAATGGCAGAATTCGGTACTTTTCTGGTAAGTTTCATGCATGTTTGGTATGTGGATAAAGAAATGGAGCAGAATTCGAGGAATTGCCCGCCATAAGGTTTGTATGGTTCTGCCAATTTCACAGCTTTTCGAGCAGAATCTGCCACCTTTTCGAGCATTATCCGCACACCCCTACTTGAGAGGAATCAAAAGCGTTTCTGCTGTTTCTGCTGTCGGTTAAAACCGTGGAACTCAGAGTTATACTTCAAGAAGTAGCAGAAACGATTTTGTTTCCTCTCAAGTGTGTGCATGTACATGTACCTGTACATACATGACGATGGTACATGTACATTGTATAAGGAGATGAGGTACATGTACTTTTCTCCTTTTACTCGTTCTGATACCTTCTAACAAGATACTCTCCAACGGAATCTGGCAGAGTTCTAACAAACATAAAAAATGGCTTTGGTCCTAAAATCTCAATCGCCTATTCTCTACAAAGTGTTCTCGGTTTGCGTAATCTCCTCAGACCTGAGATTACGCGGAACATCTACACGTATCGAGGAACGACTGGGGGAAAACTATTAAAACGTCCTTTACTTGTGAAAGTGATGATGGTTTTGCATCCAAAAGGATGAACAGGACGTATCAGTCCAAGTACATGCACGTTGCACCCTACCGCGAATTCCTGAAGAAGAAGGCAGGTTCAAGTGGTGCATGATCTATCCTGGAACGATAACTTGAATTTCCCCCACTGCAACATTTCCAGATTTGGGTTCAACTAACCGCTAAACACGGTATGATGATCACGGTGACACTCGTGTGGCTCCACTGAACCCGCCGTTTTCTCATCCCCCCAATCGAGAATCTGATATGGTGAACGCGTGTTGGCCTTGTTGCTCGTTGTACGCTTTGGTGGCGAGGAATGTACATGTACATGTACATGTAGCTTGTAACACGACACGAACCATACTCAGGGCCGCCAGGTTTCCCTATCTCAAATGACAAGGTAACACAATGTACCTTCGAGTGGATCTAGTCATGTTCGCCGAGCTCAACAAAGTGGCAACAAGCCTTTGGCCTAGCCTGTGTCGACGCGTCCTTCTCGGTCGCGGGATGATTTGTTAGATGTTGCACTTTAGGAACGAGTGCAAATAATTTTTAAATCGTTGCACACCTCCATGTAATTAACGCCGTCCTGCCATTGCGACCACAAACGCTAACACACGGAATATGTGGGCTCCAGAACCATTGTCGAGTTTCCTTCTCGGAAACACTTGAGGCTGCACTCGCCGTGTTAGATAGAATGTCCAGTGTCCAGAGTACACAGGCAAGGGATAGTACTTTGGAACGTGGCGCGAGGCAGATGATCCCTTCGCATCATTCTGGCAGCGTCGAGTCCGCCGCGTACTTGTGTTGTGGAAACGGTCTGATGTGTTCCCTGGCCTTGGCTGCACTTCCCGGCACCGATAGCGTGTTGATGTGCGTTACGAATCGCTCCCCTTCTTGGTCCAGTGCTAGATCTGCGAAGCGAGTCCATCTTGCCCCAATACCCTGGGGCATACGAAATCATATGCTCACCGTGGATCGGCGACTGAACTCCAGTGCATTTGAATAGAAAGTGCTTGCTCATGGCGAACGAAGGTGATGATCAACAAGACAGGCACTGTACTACAGACACAGGCAACTTGAGGCAAGTGGATGAGGGAAACGATCCAGTACTAGTAATTAATATATATTTTAACGCTTTGCCTGGCCAGGGGAAGCGATTAATTGCATGCTCCATGCAATCTGGGGATCGAGCACATTCCACCATGGCCACCTCAGCTCATCTTACATGTATGCGAACCAAGCGCACACGTTTGTCGTCTCCGTCTCCATCAGCGGTGCTCTCATGGGCACGCACCTGCTACACCCAGAACTCATCTTTGGTGTGCATTGGAAGACGTCGCTATCATCGTGAGATGGTGCCTAGAGGCGGGCTCACACCCCAGTATGGAACTTTCCCCGTGTTTAACCCTCAAGACAATGTAAATACGATAGAAGTCATACTGGCGAAAACATTGCGTCAAATCATCCCACTCAAATGGGAACAGCCCCATTCACCGTCCCCAGGGCTATTAACTGGCAATAACTTCATGGGTCCAGTTGGCGTTTGGATGGAGCACCACTTCTCAACTACTCAACTGCTGCCTTAAACCTACGAGGTGATATGATAGGAAGAAAACGCGGTCAGTGTGTGTGTCGACATGGCGCTAATAGAACGATAATACACGCTGCCCACCCATCAGCATCGCCATATATGTCTAATTATGTACAATCATGTACATGTAGTACATGACCTAGCCATTCGTGTCACAGTCACGGGTAGCTACATGTACATGTACTTCAGTATACCCGTTTCAAGTAGAATTAATTTTAATACCAATCCTAAGGGAAATCCCCTGCCATCGTTGGTGTCTAGCCCTTTCCCAAAGATGCTCGCCACTTTTTTCGCAACTTACTTTTCGTTGTTTAGGAAGAAATCGCAACTTTCGCAACTTTCTTCATTTTCGCGAACTATTTCGCAACTTTTCCGCAACCTTGGCGCAATTGGCCCCATGGCATGGGGTCAAAAGGTCAAGTCACCGACTCACCGACTACTAGTACATGTACATGTCGGACAAATGCATACTCGTACTCGTACTCGTACTCGTACTCGCTCATTTCTCGCCTGCCTTCAGACTGATTTCAAAGAAACAGTAGATCAACGTTAGTTATGATAATGTGCATTCCCTTTTCCTTGCACTGGAATGATGTACATGTACATGTACATGTTGATCTACATGTAGGATACATGCAACAGTACTTGCACTGTGTAAAGTGGTGGTTCACAGC